TGGCCCCGCCCACCCTGCCAGCACTCCAGCTGCTCTGCCCCAGGCGGCTCCGATTCAGCCGCTGCTGGTCAGTTTCAGCAGCAGCTGAATCAGGGATGCTTGGGGCAGAGCCGGACTATCAGAAGGGGGGGCTATGAGGGGTTTAGGGTGGCACCCCCCCACCACCAAGACCCCTCATAGCTCCCCTTTCCGATAGTCCGGCATATCTGATAATCCGGCACCCCCTGGGTCCCAAAGGTGCCGGATTATCGGAAGTTTACTGTACATTGTCAATACTTCAGGTCAAGGATACATCTAATTCAATCTTAACTTTTGTGGAACCAACACTCATAATGGATGAGCCACAAGATCGAGAACACGCAATTCTCTGCTATCAGCAATTGAAGGCAAGGTGAAAAAAGTGGTTATGAAAGAGATGTAAAGGTGTAGAAGAAACTTCCTCTGTGCACAAGAGGAGTGAGATTGTTCCAAGAATAGTGGGCAGCAGGAAGAGAGAGATTCTTTTTCCTGGATTCTGTATTTCCGTTCTGGTTTGTAGTTATTTCAAATGATGGGAATTGTTTTATTTGTTTTTAATTTTCAGCAAAGGAACAAAAGTAGTGGATCTTTCTGAAAAAAGAGACCTCTCATTGTGTTCCACTGTAATGCGTAGTGATGGGACATCTCTTTATATAACAAGGCAAGTGTGTGTTTGTGCTAGACTTTGGATTTAGTTCAGTGGTAGACTCTTGTGTAATTCACATTAATAGTCGTTTTTAGGGACTTAAACACTGGAAACTTTGTATTTCAGGATCACTATAAGATGTTCACCAGTCAATAATCAGAATAATTTTTGAAGGTTACAATGACAATATAACTATGGAGAGAGAGAGAAAGTTACTTTTAAAAAATGAAACCTTGTTTTTCTAGACGTAAGGCCATGTCTTCACTTTCTGTGCTGGAGATCAATTTTCTGGCAGTTGAGTTAGTGGATCTAGTTAAGACCTGCTAAATCAAATGCAGAACATGGAAAAACCTCTATAATGCACATGTTCATTTTTACAGTTCTCTCCCTATCCATAGTGTTAAAGAATTTTCCCAGCAGGCAACCCATTCTGCGTAAAAAGATATATTAATTTGATTGATAGTTTCTCATCTCTTCCAGAGATATTGCAGCTGCTATAGACCGAATGAATAAATATAACTGTGACACTATGATTTATGTGGTAAGTAATTTTAGTTCCATAGATATCTTTGAATTGAACTCTTCTATTAATGCAGAGCCTTTTTTGTTCTCAGTATCACCATGGCACATAGTATGTGGCATCACAGTAGACATTTACAATAGGTACATTGTGCAGAGCAAAAGTCGAATTAAGATACACAACTTCAGCTATCTCAGTTGCGTATCTGAAGCTGAAATAGCTTAATTCAGCTTTTGGCGCTGTCTACACAGCGGGAAGTTGAAGGAAGATCACTCTTCCTTTGACTTCCCTTATTCCTCGTGAAATGAGGGTTGCAGGAGCCGGAGTAAGAAGTCCTCAAGCTCTCCATTATTTTGAAATAAAGGCTTGTAGTGTAAACATGCTCCCAGATGGCCTCATTGTACAATAGCAATTCCTCAGTGTCAGACAGTGAGTCTCAATCCTATTTTGGTTCATGACCCACCAAATGGCTGAAAAATCATGTGAGACTCATCCTTTTGAAAATTAATTGTAATTTGCTTAAAAATAGCTTTTACTCAATCAGCACATTTTCCAGATAAATATTGTTATTAAATATTTAATCACATTAAAAGTTTATTTTTACAATTGTTTTTAGTATAGAGAAGAATTTAAAATAAGCTATTAAAGTCATGTTCTAAAATCCATTTACATAGCGCTTTAATTTAAGGTTCCAATATATTGTCACAAATGTGAATTTTTTAGTTTTGTTTATAATAAATCAGTTTCTGTATTGTTGGTTCACTTAGAATTGCACATCAAGAGCCATTTAATCCATCTGGGCAATGCAGTAGCAGACTGGAAGCATTTTAACTGTGTGCTATTTTTTAACATGACTTCAGTAATATTAGTAATGGATAGATCCGTTGTGTAAAGCTTCTTAGTTTCAGCAATTGTAAAGATTCAGACTGTGATGCCTTTTAAGGTTTTTTCAGAGATCAAGGTAACCTTTTGAAAATCACTTTTTGTTATATGGGGTCAGTTAACATCCTCCGGGAAGCAAATGTACAGGTTTCTTGGCATGCTTCTTATGATATGTCTGGAGGTGTACAATGTGGTTGGTATCATACTGTCATTAACCAGTATAATGTTACATAATACGCCTTTGAAAGACTTATTGGATCCAGTAACTGTAAAACCAAACCAGACCTTTTTAGCTTTTCATTGTCTAAATTTCCATTAGCTTGACTTCCCTATTGTGACATGGGAATAATGTCTTTACCACCAAAGCATGCAGCATTCCTTGTCATCAAGGAGCTGCATGCCCAAAGAGAAAGCAGTGCTCCGGAAGTTATGGACATTGTTTCTAATGTAGAAGTAGCTGATGTGTGCATTGTTCACCTGCATTTGCTCCTGTGATTGCCATGAGTTATAAGAAAGGGACAAAGTTGCAATAACAAAACACTTTGCACCAAAATAGAATGTAGGCTGAAATTGATAGAGAGATGGACCAGTGCAGGGTCAGTGCCATATTGTAGCATGAGAAAGAGAAGCAAACACCTCAATTTTAGTAATTGTTCAGTCCTTATGTCTCAGTTTCTTAGTCTCTCTGGCCTAATCCTTATGTACTTGAAACAAAAGCTAGAACCTGCAAGGTAGCTAGTATGACCATTGAAATAACAGTGTCTCCGAGAAGTTAGAAATGAAAATCACCTACCAAGTCACCTAATCCAGCTCTCATCTGTCCTCTTGTATGATAACAGATGCATGGAATTACTAAGGGGTTTGGATACTTCTACTAATCCTTTCTGGCAGTTCTCTCTCTTTTTTTGGCTGAAATTAATGTTAATAAAAATTGATTATTAATAGCTGTTGTTATGCAAACTGTGGGTAGACCTTGTCCAGTCATCCTCACGCAGCTTTGTCAGTGACCTGATTGATCCCAGATCTCTTAGAAGTAGGATGTTCAATGTCACTGATTTGTACCAGATTACATGATAGTGTTTTTTAATGTCCATCAAATTCAGTGCTTCATGTGGCCCATCAAATCCAATGATGGATTTGACTCTAGGTTACCTGAAGTTAGACCTCTATGAACCTAACGTAAATACAGATGATTTCTACCCTATGTTTGATAGATATTCAGTTATTTTATACACACATATTTTGAGTTCTAGTGGTTATTCATACTGAGGCAGCCAGGGGGGGTGGGCTTATTGGATAGCCAAATACTCGACTACTCACTTACATCCCTACTGCACATTTAGCAGATGTTTTCAAGAACTGTCCACAGGGACTCCAAGATCTTGTTCTTGAGTAGTAACAGCTCTTTTAGGTCCCGTCATTTTGTAGGTGATGTTGGGATTATATTTTTCCAATGTGCATTAATTTGCATTTTTCAGTGTTGAATTTCATTTGCTGTTTCGTTTGCCAAGTCCCCCCTCTCATTCTTCACAGTCACCTTTGGACTTTAACCATCTTGAATAATTTTGTATCATCTGCAAACTTTGCCACTTCACCATTCATTTCCATTTCCTGCTCATTAATGAATACATTGAATGGCACAGTTCCCAGTATCCCAAGGGAACCTTGCTGTTTATTTCTCTCCATTGTGAAAACTGACCATTTATACCTACCCTTTGTTTCCTGCTTTTAACCAGTTACTAATCCATGAAAAGACCTTCCCTCTAACCTATGACAGCTTACTTTGCTTGAGACACTTTGACAAAGACTTCCTGAAAGTCCAACTGGATAATCCTTGTACCTGTATGTGTTTGGCTCCCTCAAAAGATTCTAGTTGAGGGACATGATTTCCCTGTACAATAGCCATGTTGACTCTTCCCTAACAAATCATGTTCATTTGAGTGTATGATAATTCTGTTAGTATGGTTTCAACCAGATCGCCTGGTATTGAAGTGAAGCTTAGTGGCCTATAATTGCCAGGATTGCATCTGAAGCCTTTTTTACAGACACTCTTGGTGGATGTCAGTTCTGGAGAGGCAGATGATTTAGCCCACACCAAGGAACTGCCTTGTGGCTATCAGTGGAAACCTTTCAGCCAGTTCTGGTATATCATTTATAGGCTTTTATGGGGTTCTTTCAATAATTGTATTGATGATGTAAATCAAGTGCCAATGGCAGGGCTTCAAGGTTCAGCACTGACTGTGAATGCATCCTTTCTGATGTGAGATTTGACAAATGTATGAATTCAAAGGTGAAAATTATAGTGGATTAATTGAAAGGCCTGTACAATAATTATACAGTTGTTTTTTTAAAAAATATAAAAGTATTTTATCAGTAGTAAGATGATAGAACATGTTGATGTCAACATACTTACACTATTATATCTTTCAACATTCTGTTTTGTTAGATCTAAGTTCTGCTGACTCCTTATCTAAGCAAATGTGTCTTCTAAAATGCACCCATTTCCTCCCAAAGACAGATAAAAGTCAATTTACTCACTTTGAACATCTGTTCCAAATACTGAAGCTCATGGGCTATGAATGGGCAGAAAGGTAGGTGTGGGTGTCATAGTTGCTACTTTTTAGGGGGAGGTGAGATATATTAAAAAGGATAAACAGCAATGATCATCAGAAATCCTTTAATATGCCCCTTGAAACTTCTTGGTATGAGAAGTAGGGTACATAAAAGCAAGAAAGGATGACATATTGCTTATCAAAGACATTGCACCTCAGTATCTATAGTAGAGTGTAGTCGAATAGTAATCATAAGAACTAATATACTTTTACGTGTGTGACATTTTTAAATCCTGCCTCTTTAACTATTGTACTGAGTCTTCCATATTAAAACCTACCATAGCTGCTAGAAATTACCAGTCTCCCAAGAGTGTATGAATGACCAGGTTTTCATATTCTTGGTCCTTTCCGTCTAATTATGAGATGTGCATGGAGATGTGTTTTTTGAAGTGAGGTAATGATGTTGTTGCTGAGCTATCTGTATTGAATGATGTTTGTTCAGCTGTTACTACTACATCCTGGTTCAGGGCCATGCCTGGACAAACATTGCAGTCATTTCTGTTGATTAAAATATGATTTGAAATAGCTTGCTGTTTGCAATGCAGGTGTCAGCATCTGTCGTTTGGTCTAGTGCAGGGGATGAAGACAAGAAAAGGAGAGGTGGTTTTTCTGGAAGACGTATTAAATGAAGCTTGCTCAAGGATGTTACAAAACATGGCTTCTGCAAAAAGTAAGTTGATTTAGGTCTTACTCATTTCTCTTGAAATATTCCCATGCAGAATACAATACTTTTTTCTTCTCTACCCCATCACGCACACCCAGCCCAGTAATTCAGAGCAGTAAGCTCTGATCTATGTCTTTTCACCACCTGTGATGATATAAATAATGTAGTAGTAACATTTCCTCTTCCATAGCTAGAATCTCAAATAACTTTCCCAAACAATGGGTGGCCATACAGCTTGTAAAACATGGAAAGAACTTTGCCTCATAGCAATACTACCATATAGGGAAGCTATTGCATGGCCATCAAGACAAATCACTTTTATCCTAAAATAAGAATCCAGGAATGAATGACACTCAAGCACCTAAATCACTTGAAAATGGAACTTAATCTCTTCACTCTCACAGGCATCTCTGAAAGTTTTACCCACTACTCTTCATCTTGCTCTGCCTCACTTCCCTCATTGTACAATGGTAATAGCTTCCTAACACAAAGGGGTGTATGCATTTCATTAATGTGTGAGGTGCTCAGATATGGTGGGTGGGTGGGGGTGAGAGGTGGGGAAGGCCAAAGGTACCTACCTGCCATTTGTTGCTGTGAAAACCTGGTAGTAATCTGGACTATTTAAGTGTCAGTCAAAAACTCATCATTCTTACTGTTAAAACTCCACATAACTGTATGCAGCCTACATTTTCATTCTTGTATCTATTAACACCTTCTGACAAGCCCCATCTTCTGTGGAATCCTTTTTCCTTAATGCTCTTTGTGTTCCCTTAGTGCTATCTTCCCTGCTTACTCCTGGGGGAATTCTGTGCCAAAAAGTTAAATATTTTAACTTTATAATATTTTATACACAGCATTTTAAAACTCTGAATAGTTTATATGACATAACACGATTTAATCACACCAGTTTCAATTATTTTGGTAATTTATTTCAAAATACTGGTCAACAGGTTTTTGCCAATAACAATACAAACAACAAGAAAGATTCCCTCAGGAGTAGAAAGTTAAAGAAACCTACTTGACAAACCAGTTTCTGTTTCTTTGTTATGCTTTTGTCAGGTGCCTCAATCTGAGTGTGTCACATATGCCAGCTGGGCACAATTTAGAGGAAAAATCTGTGTTCCTGGTTTTTTAGTACATTTTTGGGTTATTTGCCCAACCCCCGTAGGGTTACCATATTTCAGGTTCCCAAATAGAGGACATTGCCAGGGGGTGTTGAAAGGAGGGCATATGGTTGGGGGGCATTTGGGGGAGATGCTGGAATAGTGTGTGTATTTGGAGGGGTCTGCGTGAGAACCCAGACACCCTCATCTTTCCTTCCCTGAGTGCAGTTGCAGGCTGTGTCCTGTACATTTTTATCCCCTCAGTCAGAGAGAGCCTGTAGCTGCTGATGAGGCACAATGTAAAGATTAGGCCATTCTGGGAACAGTTTGAGTCATCTCTCCCTCCGTAAACCCCCACCCTTTTCAGTCTCCCTTTGTGGAAAACAGCGGTCACTCCTTGCAGATCCTACTTGTTGTTTCTGCCTCTCCCTGCAGGGTGCAGCTCACTGGCTCCAGCAGCTGCAGGGCAGGGAGGGGGTCCAACTGCACCATGTGACTAAGCAGGGCTGGCAAATTTGAGAACCACAACCCACTGAGGTAACCTCCTGCATAGGTCCACTATGAGCTGGGGATCCAGAGACCATAACAGCTGCCAGAAGGTCTGCAGCACCAATTGTGCACTGAACATGAATTCTGTGTAACTTTTGCATTGCGAGTGGTACAGAATTCCCCCCAGGAGTATCTTAATGTGCCTCTGGATATTTTTCTTGCTGTATCGGCCCCTTTTTTCCTGTGCAACAAACATCCACTGTCCTCTCCTTTCAATATTTCCTTATTATTTCTGCATAGTCTTTCATGATTGGTTGATCTCAACTGTGACTGTATCTACCCACTCAATCTTTCTTGAATTGTATGCATCCTAATTTGCCTGTAAACTCCTGGTGGCAGGCACCTCTCTCAGCTGTATTTTGTAACACAGTCTATAAACTTAGGATACTATTGAGCAATCTTACTATATATTTTTAAAATGTGCATCTGTCTGTGAGTCTGTTTGTTCAAGAGCTCCTCCTAAATGGTAAGAAGTAGGATCACCAAATGTGGTATGCAGCTTCTTCTTATAACTTAAAGCAAGGTAGGGGTTAGATTGTGCCAAGATAATGGGATGTGCATGGAATTCAATTTTCTCATAAAATGGGAAGGGAAGGGTCTGGTACGAGGGAGTTATACTGTAGAATGACTATAGAAGGCAGCAAAGGGCCAGAGATGGGGAGGTCAGGACAACTATCACTCCATTAGGCCAGAGGGGGGCAGGTGTGGAGAAAGGAACAGTTATCTACTATATATTTGAGAGTTTGTTTGTGTGTCTCTGTCCCCCAGCCAGGGGACATGCATTCTTCCCCCAGCTGTGTCCAGTGGAGCTGCAGCAGCCATAGTGAGGCACTTCTCATCTTGCCCCAAGCTGCTGCCATGAGAAAGGGCTGGGGTTGTCCCCTTTCCCCGGGACAGCCTGCATACTGAACCCCCTCATCCTCAGCCCCACTTCTGAAAAATTATTTAAATGAGGAAAACAAAACTTACTTGAGTTAAGGACCTAAGCAATGCCAGGCAAATCTTTGAGTGCATAATAATTTCAATTGTCAGATTCTGTGGGATTTGAATACATTTAATTTTACTACCAGCTAATGAGGGGAGGCTGGATCAATGGCAAGCCCTTTAGTACAGAACCAGGGAATTAATGGGTTTTCAGAAAAATGTGCTTCAGTGCTCCAGATTCCTATAAATGCACCAGGACAGTGTGTGAGAGTTATCTTTTCAATGTCATGGCATCAAACTCAGGATTACTTTGAGAGAAATTTTCAGAAAATGAAGGTGCACAGTTCTCATTTACACAGTCATTTCAGTTGCATGTGCAAAGGGCAGAGATCAGTTCTAAATGTGTGCTGTATAATAGTTTCCCACCAAGTGATGTGTTTAGACTTTACATAAGGGCCATATTCTCCCCTCTGTCTGTGGGCAAATCATCCACTGTTATCACTGGGAGATCAACTGTTGATGGAGAGCAGCATACATCTGTGACTATTTATAGACTTAGCCCATGGACCAGAATCAAAATGAGTGTGATGACCTGGCTTACAGGAAACTGCACTAGGATCCTCCTGAAAATAGGAGGAAGATACTTAGAAATCAAATATGACTTGAGTTTAAAAATGGAATGTTTTAAATAGACCAACATTTAAAGTGTCTGGGCTGAGAAAGAATGAGTCTAAACACAAGGGCTATGTCTACATTGGCACCCTTTTCTGGAAAAGGGATGCTAATGAGACACTTCGGAATTGCAAATGCCGCGGGGGATTTAAATATCCCCCGCGGTATTTGCATGAACATGGCTACCGCTTTTTTCCGGCTCAGGGCTTTGCCGGAGAAAAGCGCCAGTCTAGACGGGATCTTTCGGAAAATAAAGCCTTTTCCGGAAGATCCCTTATTCCTCTTAAAATCAGGAATAAGGGATCTTCTGGAAAAGGCTTTATTTTCCGAAAGATCCCGTCTAGACTGGCGCTTTTCTCCGGCAAAGCCCTGAGCCGGAAAAAAGCGGTAGCCATGTTCATGCAAATACCGCGGGGGATATTTAAATCCCCCGCGGCATTTGCAATTCCGAAGTGTCTCATTAGCATCCCTTTTCCGGAAAAGGGTGTCAATGTAGACACAGCCATGGAATATATTGCCTGCAGATGTGGGCTGGTGCACCTGCAGCTGACATCCTTTCCAAAATGTTGGTGATGTGTACACAGTCTGTTAATGCCTGTGTGAAGGGTGCTGTGATCCCAGCCTACCTCTGTGTGCTCCCACCTCTGGGGGGATAGAAGAGGAAATAGGAATAAAATAGTCTCTTCAGTGGATTGCTGAAGAGGTGAGAAAGCTGTTATTCACCACAGAATTGTTGGTGAAAGCAGTCATAAAATAACTTTCCTGCCAAGGATCTTACAACAGCTGCAGTGAAAAGAGATATCATTTGTTAGCATATTTATCAGTGATGTTCAAAGGCAGATAGATAAATTACAGTGAAAGACTTAAGTTCTGACTAGTTAGCTCATCCAAGAGAAGGCTGAGCGGGGATTTGACTACAGTCCATAAGTACTCATATGGGAGATGATGATGACATCTGATAGTAGAGGGCTGTTTAATCAAGCAAGCACAGATGTAATAAAATCCAAGGATTGGAAGCTGGAGCTAGACAAATTCAGACTGGAAATAAGGTCCATATTGGAACAGTTTACCTTGGGATGTGCTGGATTCTCCATCACTTGAGAACTCTATGGATGTCTTTCTAAAAGATATGCTGTAGCTCAGTCAGAAGTTAGGGACTTGAGGCAGGAATTATAGGGTGAAAATCAATAGCCTGTGTTACATAGTAAAACAGACTAGACTGTTCTCTTTGCCTCTAGTCTATAATCACATTGTCTGTAAGTACATCAGAAACACCATAGTAGGTCAGACAAAAACTCCATCTAGCCCAGTATTCTATCTTTCTACATCAGCCAATGCTAGATGCCCCAGAGGGAATGAACAGAAACAGGTAATCATCAAGTGATCCATCACCTGTTGCCTATTCCCAGGCTAGTGAAACCATCCGTGCCCATCCTGGCTAATAGCCATTGATGGACATATCCATGAATGTATCTGTCTCTTTTTTTAAACTTTGTTAGAGGCTTGGCCTTCACAACATCCTCTGGCAAGGAGTTCCATAGGTTGACTGTGCATTGTGTGACTGAATACTTATTTTTATTTGTTTTAAACCTGCTGCCTATTAATTTAATTTGGAAACCCCTAGTTCTTGTAAAGAAAGACAGCCTAAATCTAAAAGGTTTTACATGCAGACTCTTGTCAGCCCTTGCATCCTGACTGTTTTATCCAGGGTATAAATTTTAATCAAATCTGCTCTGCCACCAGCTGTTCTGATTCTAACCCATGACCAGTTACACTATTGTAATTCAATCTATTTTTGCTTGTATTTGTTCAGCAACCAAAGAACTGGAAAACCCTCTTGAGACTGCAGAAAAGATTGGGCTTGCAGCACTCATAATTCAGGTCTGTTTAAACTGCCTTCTGATTATTCCTTCTGCGAGAGAATATAAATTGGTGCTGGTGATACTAGCTTACTTGATGCTTCATAATAACTGGTATCATTTTAGGATTTCAGGGGTCTGCTATCATCTGATTATAAGTTTAGCTGGGATCGGGTTCTCCAAAGTCGGGGAGACACAGGCGTATTCCTGCAGTACACACATGCTAGACTCCACAGGTAAGAAGAACATTCCAAAGTGGAGAATTTTTCTGTTTCTATTAACACCTATTTAACTGCATGTCTGAGTAACATTTATGATAAAGCCTTTCCTAAAGAGTCAACTTTTTCATCCATTTAGTTGAGACCTCACAAGCAAACTAAGGAAAATGAAACTTGCATGCCCTTTCCCTCTGGACTAAGGGGCCTAACCAAGCCGTGTCTATGTCCTAATAATTCCTGGCTGCTCTAACAGCCTTTTGTGATAGCTGGTGCAAATCAGTGAATGGCCCCAGGATCAGTGGTCCTCTGTTATAACCAAGGAATCTGGCTTGGGAGTCCTCTGTATATGTTAAATACACCTTGCTGTAAAATTTAAACTGAGATTTGACTGAACTCCCATTAGCTGCAGTTACTGACTCTAGTCTTAATTATATTCTTTTGTGATCACCCAAAACTGTATTGTAGGGAATTTTAAATATCCATAGATAAACCACTTGGGCAGACTGTCAAGATAGGCATTATGTGTCATACTACTGAATTGATTTTTCTAAAGTTTCAAAAAGGTCAAACTTGACAGTGCCCTTTTCAACTGTCATGTTCTTTCAGGGTATCGTAGTTACCGATGTGTATATTCAGTGCTGGCTTAAGTAAAACAGCTTTTTGTCTTGGATTTCGATTGCCATGGATTTAACTCAGTCTACATCACGTGTTGCAGTCAGGTTGCAAACAATGTACAGGCAGTCCCCGACTTACGCGGATCCGACTTATGTCGGATCCGCACTTACGAACAGGGCTTTCTCGCCCCGGAGGTCGAGGTGGCGGATTGCTACCTGCGAGCTCCGGGGCGAGAAAGCCCCGTTCGTAAGCTGCTCCGGTGCCCCTGG